GTAGGGCTTGGTCTGCAGGCCCTTAACCATATGAGTGGCCCTTTTCTGGACCCTCTCCAGGTTATCCGCATCCCTCTTGAAGTGCGGTGCCCAGAATTGCACGCAGTACTCCAACTGCAGTCTGACCAGCGCCCGATAGAGGGGAAGTATCACCTCCTTGGACCTATTCGTCATGCATCTGCTGATGCACGATAAAGTGCCATTGGCTTTTTTGATGGCTTCGTCACACTGCCGACTCATGTTCATCTTGGAGTCCACTAGGACTCCAAGATCCCTTTCCACTTCCGTGCCACCCAGCAGGTCATTCCCTAGGCTGTAGGTGTGCTGGACATTTTTCCTCCCTAGGTGCAGCACTTTGCATTTCTCCTTGTTGAACTGCATTCTGTTGTTTTCTGCCCACTTGTCCAACCTGTCCAGATCTGCTTGCAGCTGTTCCCTGCCCTCCGGCGTGTCCACATCTCCCCATAGCTTTGTGTCATCTGCAAACTTGGACAGAGTACATTTCACTCCCTCGTCCAAGTCACTGATGAAGACATTAAAGAGTATTGGTCCAAGGACCGAACCCTGTGGGACCCCACTTCCCACACCCTTCCAGGTCGAAACCGACCCATCCACCATGACTCTCTGGATGCGGCCCTCCAGCCAATTCGCCACCCACCGGACTGTGTAGTCATCCACTACTAATAAGAACTTCTATTAATTACTTAACACAATTTACTTTGCCTTTGAGAAACTATACAGTTCAGGGCTAAACAGGCTGGTTTTGTTTTTAGAACATAAGCTTATCACTCCAGTACTAGAAAAAGGCTGCTTTCCCCAACACTGGAGGTCTTCAACTACTGAATTAGGAAACTGAGACTGTTGAGATTATGTGCACATGTGAGTGATGGGGCAAGGAGAGAAGCCTTTATGGCAAAGTAATATTAAAAAAAAAGAAGAAACTGATTTAGCTGCAATAAAAAGCACTAAGGAAACCAAGTTAAGGCCAGGACAAAAGAGGGGTGGCTGATAAATGAAAATACCACTGCACAGACTTACCTGCGTTTGTTTAAGCGTACAATACTGCAGTCATTCTCATAACCTCCTTTCTCATTTAGCATGCCTGTGTGCACGATATGTCCAACTGGAACATCCAGGTCATTCGAGAAAAGGTACTGAAGAACCTCCAGCGCCTGACCCCCTGTGGACTGTAGGGATCGACATGAGAAGAGAATCAAATGAGCTAGCTGAGGATGGAGCTCTGACAGAGCAGCGCAAAATTGCTGTGGTGGTTCTAGATAGCATCATGATTCATCCCACCAAAAGCCTTTCCATTCATAATGATGATTACACAGATGTCTAGGGCTTCTATACACACCACATCACCATAGTATCCAAGAGCTTTCAGAAAGTTAAATTTGCTAAAATTCTAGACCATCAGTCAGGGATCCTGGTATTCTCTGTTTAAAAACCCCAAATTCTCCAATTAAAAAACCCATAATCCACATTTTTCCATGATTAAAATGAAATGCCATTATGTGTATAGGTATCAGTTGAACACAATGTTTTACTGCTTTAAAATTGTAAATATATCCAATTTAGAAGCCTATCAGTGCTTCAATCTTTATAATAAAATAAATTCTAAATACCTATACATTTTGGTGTTTGATTTTGTTTTTTTTATGGAAAAGTCAGAGCTCTCTGTCACCTTCATTCACCAGGATGCGGGTCCAGCTGCAGCTGTCCCCTCCACTGCCTTATGATACTGAGCATCCCTGATATGCCAGTGCCCTGCCCATGCTGGTGCCTCTCACTCCCAGCCCACAGTCATACACTGGGGGGGGGGGAGGAGAAGAGAAACTCCAGCTGGGGTGTGAGCAAAGGCAACATGTTAGGGGGACACATGCCCTCCCCCCAGATTTCTACACCCACAGCAGGATGCAAGGCTACAGCCAGGCTGAACCAGATCTAGGCAGGAGCCGCCTCTGCAACCCAGCACGCAGGACACAGCACGGGAGGTAGTTGTGCACCCCACTGCTGCTTCCTCCTGAATTGGTCCTGCCTGCTGGGCTGTGGAGGTGGATCCTGCTCAGAGCTGGTCTGGCCAGGCTGCAGCCCCACACCCTGCTGTGGGTGCAGAAATCCGGGGGCACATGACCTCCCTGCTTCCCCCCCGACCTGTGCCCCTGCCGGCTTCTCCCCCAATGTGTTGCCCGTGCCTCCCTGCCCCCCCACATTGCCTGTGGCCACTCCCTCAGCATAGACTTACCTGGAAGGAACTGTGGGAATTGCTCTCCACCTCATTGCCTGGCTGCCACGTGCATGCACGCACGCACGCACAGAGCGCCCCCTGCATCCCACTACAGCCAGCCCCAAGCAGCCCTTTGCCAGCCGGAACTCAGCCAGCCTGCAAGAGGAAACCCACAGTTTCCTGGGGTTTTCTCCTTTAAGGGACAAAAAACCACACTTTTCCATGACAAATGGAAAACCCAGATCCCTGATCATCATCAATGCTATAAATTAAACCAGGGTTTTTCATAGATGCTAGAGTCAGAAGGGACCTCAAAGGATCATTGAGTCCTACCCCTTAAATTGCAGGGTTTGGCAATTTTCTGCTGCCATGGGCCAGATCTTGCAGCTCAGCTCCCCACCTTCGGCTATAAATCTCTGCCCCATGGATTGCTCAAAATGCCTGTACTTCCCTTGCTACAGATATCTGGCCCCCATACAGTGAGGGTAAGCACAAGGATAGAAAGCAACAGGGCAGGTTTCTGAGGAGGGTGCTGCAAAAATAATGGGTGGCTGGGTACAGCTGCAACCTGCCTGATCATCATCACCTGCCACCCCAGGCCAAGCTGGGTCTTCCTGTGGCGAATGCAACCTCTTCATGGGCTGGATACAGCACAGAGGCCATTGGTTGCCAATTAAACCACAAAAAGAACAATACAGGCAGTCCTCGACTTACGACTGAGTTACGATGAACGGCATTTACGACATTTGTAAACTGATACCGTTTGGAGGTTCTGATGGGGGTTTCACCTTTAAGACACTTGACACAGCTGCATCCAGCTGGTAAGTCTGTCGGGGAAGGAGGGGGGAGAGGAGGGAAGGGGCGTAGGGGTGCAGATCAATGCCCTGAAGTGAGGGAGGGATTGTGGCTGAGGCTGGGAGGCTCCTGCGGCTGCATGGCGCCAGTCCATAGGGGGAGGGAGGGAGTGTGCCCCAGATCTGTGCAGGGTGGGCGGGACCGGGGCTGCGCTCTAGGCAGAAGGCGCTGGGAGTGGGGACTCTGCCCTCCCACCGCTCGCCCAGCCAGGGGGGGACATGGGACGCAGGTGCAGATTGCTCCAGATGGGTGCAGCGGCACTGGGAGCTGGGGCTATGCCCTGCCACCACTTGCCCAGCCAGGGCAGGAGGGCTTGGGGCGGAGGTGCTGCACTGCCTCAGACAAGTAGTGCATAGTGAGGGAGCCACCCTGGCCTCTCTACGGCTCTTGGACAAGCTGTGGTTTCACCTTGCCCCACCCCGTCTGGGTGAGTGGCAGCAGCAGTAGGCCATGGTGGGGGCATGTGCCCCAGATCTGCACAGGGTGGCCGGGGCCAGGGCTGCGCCAGGCTGAACTCTGGACAGGTGGCTGCAACCTCCCCACAGCCGTCTCCACCACCCTCCCCATACAGATACGGGGGTACATGCCCATGCCATGCCCTGCTGCAGCTCATCCAGCCAGTGCAGGGCAGGGGGAAGCTGTGGCTCCCCCCACCAGCCAGCGGGCGCGTGAGGCGGGGCCCGTCCGAGGCAGTGCAGGGCCTCTGCTCTGTGCCCCGCAGCCCCGGCTGGGCGAGTGGCGGCAGGGTATAGCCCCCGCTCCCAGCGCCACTACGCCCACCCAGAGCGAGCCACGCCTGTGCCCTCCGCCTCAGCTGGGCAGACCCTGTCCCAGCCCCAATCTCTCCCTTGCTGCAGGGGCGTTGATCTGCCCCCGCCATGCCCCTTCCCTCCCCACTCCTGCCCACCACAGACTTACCAGCTGGATGCAGCTGTGTCGAGCATAGTAAAGGAACCAATCCCCCATTTGTAACACTGTTCCTATGGGAAAATTGGTTCCATGTTACAACCTTTTGACTTACGACGCGGTTTTCAGGAACCATGTGTGTCGTAAGTCTAAGGACTGCCTGTACCACCAGAGTGCTAAAGGACTGTGGTAACATCTACATTTGATCATGCAGTTCTACAATAACTCCCAATTGGGCATTTAGGAAAGCAGCTGAGAGCAGGCATTTGCCAATACTTACACTTATTTCAAACTTGGTAAAAGATGACATGTCAATGACACAGACAGCCTCTTTGCTGCACTTGACCTCAGAGCCCACAATATCAAACCAATCTGGCTTGTAAAAGGTCTTGCTCTGATCCAAAGCCAGTAGATCTAACACAAAGAAGAATCAAGATGACCATTCAACTGAAATGCTCCACGTTAAACCAACAGTAATGCACTACCCACAGGAGAATATGGTCTCACCTTTCCCAGGTGGGACAAAATACTTCGGTCTCTCAAATCCATGTTTCTCCATCCATCTAGCTCCCTGAGCATCCAGGCGATCATACAGAGGGGATGTACGTAGCTGCCTGCCAGTCTGGAAATCCCAACGGGGAACCTTCAAATCACAGATGAGGGCTGTAAACAGTCAAGTTACAATTTGCTTAATGACTGACACTCAAGCATAGTTTCCTTATAAAGACTACCCTTTCCTGTCAAGCATTCCTTACTAATAATTTAAAATATCCATTGCTACAGCAATTCCAGACAGTTGTTACAGATTACCTTTTACTAGTTTTAACTTAATAACTAAAGAAAATTCTGCTACTTAAGACACCTTTTCCAGTGCTGTCCCTATATACTGCATATGTCACCTTTGAAGTGCTGTCATTCAAATGTCAACTCTTCCAAGGGCACTAGCATGTTCTACTACAGCGCAGAAATCCTAGAAAAGTAGGGTTGAAGGAGACATCTAGGGGTCATCTAGTCCATCCCCTTGCCTGAGGCAGGATCATCCCTATCAAAACCATCCTATATATATTCATTCTGTAACCTATCAGCAAAATTATACAGTCAACACCAACAAAATGACAAGACAAAACCCTAACCTGCCATAGGTAAAGCAGGTTAATAACCTGCTTGCTGCTGCAAACATGGTTAAAGTATGCTCGAGACCCCTGTAATGGAGGAAAATGGAAACCTCCACAGTCCATAACAGTCTGACCATGGGGCAAAATTATTTCCAGACCTCAAATATGGTGATTGGTCTGACCCTGGGGAAAGGAGGGAGAAGGGGGTGCGGAGAGAACAGGGGGTGGGGTGCAAGATCCTTATCCAGGAATCTCTACATTTCACTCCCAGCAGGGGCAAAGGCACATCCCTGTTGAGGGGGTACTAAAATTGGGGCCTCCTGCTTCCTGGGAACATGCCCTAAAAATACAGCTAATTGGACTAACATATGGGAGGACCATCCCCCTTGGTTCTTTCTCCTGTATCTACTATCTGCTAGTCATGGGTTTTGGTCAGGTAGAACTTTTAACACATACACAAAGGGGAGGGAGAGGGAGGAGGGAGAAGGAGGATGCAGGTGACTATAGACCAGTTAGTCTCACCTCTACCCTTGGGAAAACCCTTGAAAAAATTATCAAGGATCACATTTGTAGGAGTCCAGTAAGTAATATAATGCTGAAGGGCAACCAGTATGTATTCATAGCAGATAGATCCTGCCTGACTAACCTTGTTTTTTTCTATGACCAGGTCACTAAATGCTTAGATGGAGGAGTCGAGGTAGAGGTCATCTACTCGGACTTTAAGAAGGTCCTCAACACGGAATCCCATTCTATTCTCATAAACAAATTGAACGACTGTGCCATAGACGATTACACAGTCATATGGGTGACAAATTGGCTTAAGGGTCATACCCAGAGAGTGGTGGTGGACAGGTTAGTATTGACCTCGAAAGATGTGGGCAGTGGGGTCCCCCAAGGCTCGGTACTTAGGCTGGTGCTGTTCAATATCTTCATCAGTGACCTGGATGAGGGCGTGGAAAGCACTCTGTCCAAATTCGTAGATGATACAATACAGTTGCATCATACGCGCATTAAACTTGCGCAAATTCAACTATACGCGGGGGGGCGGGGCTTGAGTTTGCGGTGGGAGGTTTTGGCAGCGTGGGGGTGGCCCGGCAGCATGCAGCCATCCCCCCCCCCACGCTGCGCCACTGCCACCGGCCGTACAGCTCCAAGCACAGCTCCGCAGCGGGAGGTTTTGGAGGCAGAGGCAGTCGGCGCTAGTCAAATCGCTGGCAATTTGACTATATATGATTTTTGCCTTATGCGGTGACCTCAGAACCTAACCCTGCGTAAGATGCGACATGCCTGTACAAAACTATAGGGTGAAGTAAACACGCTGATGGGAAGAAACCAAATCCAGGTGGACCTGGACAGGTTTGAGAAGCAGGCGGAGAACAATAGGACAAGTGCAAGGTGCTGCACCTAGGGAGAGGGAATCACCAGCACACGTAAAGGCTGGGGGATGACCTTCTCAGCAGCACAGCGGCAGAAAGAGATCTGAGTTGACAATGACCCCGAGATGAATATGAGCCATTAATGTGATGAAGTAATTAGCAGAGCTAGCCACACTTTGTCATACATTAGTAGGTGCATCACGAACAGGTCCAGGGAGGTGCCCTCTATGTGGTACCGGTCACGCTGCAGATGGAGTACTGCGTCCAATTCCAGGTGCCGCAATTCAAGAGGGATGTGGACAACCTTGAGAGGGTCCAGAGTAGGGCCACTCACATGTGGGACAGGCAGCATGGAATAGGAGATGCTCTGTTTACCAGGGTACCCCTTGAAATAACCAGGAACAACAGTCACAAGCTGACAGAGTAGATTTAGGTTGGACATCAGAAAGAACTTCCTCACAGTTAGGGTTGCCAGAATCTGGCTCCCAAGGGAGGTGATGCTCACCCCTTCCTTGGGGGTCTTCAAGAAAAGACTGGACAGGCACCTGGCTGGGGGGTGGGGAGGGGTGGGGGTGTCAGACTTGATCCACTGAGATCCCTTCTGATCCTAGCATCTATGAATCTATAAAGTACATGCATACAAAGTAGGGGCGTGTGAAATGGGCCGTATTCTGATTCAGACTTGGATTCGGCCCGAATTGGGGACAGTTATTCAATTTGTTGATTCAGATCACTGTCCCGATTTGATTCGGCCAAATCTGAATCTGAAGATTCGATGCCGATTCAAAGAATCAGCAGTTCGGCCATAGACACAGCTTTCAATGTTTTTTCTACATACCTCGAGGTACCAGGTGCAGCTTGTGAACACTGCGATGCTGGGGAGGATGTCCTACAGGAGTGCAGTTGGGGGTGGGTTTTCAGTCTACTTCCAGGTCCACTGCTGAGCGCACTGGGGGACCCCCCCCCCACCCCTGCGATCAGCTGCGAGGAGACCCCGGGTGCCCCCCTCCAGACCCAGGAGGCACCAGTAGCCAAGCTGGGGAAGGCAGGGGGGGGAGGGTCGGTCAGCATGCTCCCTGGCCGACCTGAAAATGCTTTGGGTCTGCTGCCAAGCGTTCTGGGTACCCCCCGGGCTCCTGTGGGACACTCCATCTGCCCCACCATCTCAGCATTCACGAGCCGGCTGGCACCATGAGGTATGTAGAAAAAAACATTTAAAGTGTCTATGTCCAAACTGTCGAATCTTTCTGAATTGGTTTGGAGGGTTCCAATTTGATTCGGAGAGATTAAAGGGTCTCCTGATTCGATTCGGAGATTTGGCCACCAAATTGAGCCTAATTGAATCAACGACCGAAGCTTCACACAGCCCTAATATATAGCTGCATAGCTACCCATGCAGTGCATAGATTACTACAGGTGCTTAGGAGTTGTGTGGATACTTGTGTTGCAACGACATGGGTAATAGTTTTCAATTCTATAACTATCAAAAATATCCCTTATGCAGCTTGAAAACTGCTATTTGTGTGTATAAAAGTTCTTAATTCACAACCGATCAGAAACTTTGGAATGAAGGAAGATTAGAAGACATGGACAACAGCAACATGCCAAGCCTTTTTTCCTTGCGATAACAGACAGCATTTGCAAAATCTTCACAAGTGATAAATGAGACATCTAGCCTAAATATTCTTGTACCAGCACATTAACATTTCCATAGTATACTGACATGCAGAGCATTATGATGCTCAGGACAGCATAATGCTCTTAACTAGTAATTTGTGCTCTTTTTCCATTGATATATTTTACCCGCACCTAGCACATGCCTCCCACCCTCCCCAAAAACAGCTGCTGGAAACTGGTGAATGCTAATATGCAAGGATATATGGTCAAAGCAGTTTCTGCCACTTAAAACTTTTGCTCAACATAAGCCAAGTAAAAATCTATATGGGACCCACAGGGAGCAGAACAGTGACCAGGTTTGGTGCCTAGCTGCTGCTGCTCAGGTAAGATCATAGCAAAGGAGGGCTGAAGGGGAGCTTATGATGTTAACTAGTCCAGCCCTGTGCTCAAGGCAGGATCATCCCTCATTACACCATACTAGCCAAGTGTCTGTCTAACCTGCTCTTGAAAATTTCCAGGGATGACAATTCCAGATTCTAGGTAACCCATTCCAATGCTTGACCACCCTCATAGCCAAAAAGTTCAGGAAAGATTTTTTTCTTTATTCTGACTTTCAAAAACAAGGTGTTTCCTATTCTGAGGAGTGCTGTATGTGAGCAAGTGTGGCATTTTGGAGCCCTAACTAGGTATGCCCTAAATTCCCATTCAGAATTAGCTAGGAGGCGTGCATTCCCATTCAGTTAGCTAGGAGGCATGCAAAGGCTGCATTGCCATAATGACTACTACAAAGCAGAAAGCATCCTTCAGAATGACTGCAGTTCAGTGCCAGGGGAAGAAATGATGAGAAAGAAAACAATCCTTAACTTCTTTGTATATGCAAGTGAAAGCTTGTGATCCTACTTACGCATAACTTCCATGACACGGTGACGGAGGAAGGTGCGACTGCTCTGAAGGGCACCAAAACGCTTTAGGTCTAGGGGCCACACATTTTCTGATGGATACCCATTTACCATCCACTCAGCCAAATATCTAATTGGAGACAGAAACAAAGGAAAATTGTATGTTACCTGATACCTTATTGAAGTTTGGCATTTAAATCAGAAGTGATACAAACTGGGTCATTTTTGTTTGATTACTTGGTTGGTTTTCATTTTTTCAATAAGGAAAAAGCTACAAACACCAGTGGAAGCTGAGGAAATGGGTGGTTCCACCATTCAAATTCATCCTTCAAATAAATCAAATCATTAATATTTTACTGCCTTGAAATTCACAAAGCAGCAGGAAATTAAGGGGGCATCCTTAATGAAACCAGAGATGGTTGGATAGCTAGCACTGCTATTATGCCAAGTCCTTTGGCTATGTAAAACAAGGAGTGCTGAAGCATGTTTAATCTGGGGCCAGGAGGCAGTCTGCTTTGCTATTTCCAGTACTGCTGCAGGCTCACCAACTATAATTTTGAACAAAGCTGGAGATGAGCAGGGGAACAAGGTGTGCAAAGAGGATTATAACCTGATGAGGACTGGACAAACATAACAGGGAAATGAACTGAAGAAAAAATCTTATACGTTTTTCTCCCTCATTAAAGGCTATATTAAGTGAACTCAGGTACCCGAGTATCAGTTAAAATTTTTATATATGTAGGATTTGAATACTTTCACATTGCACATAAGCCCCAACTACTGCACTTGCACTATAGTAGTGAGCCACTTACTTGCCTGCTCCCCCACCATAAGAGATTCCAGCAGAATTCATCCCAGCCAGGACAAAATAGCCTTGTACAGTGGGTGACTCTCCCATGATGCACCGCATGTCTGGTGTGAAGGATTCTGGGCAATTCACTAATTGCATTATTTCCAGAGCCTCCAAGCCTGGCATTCTACGGAGAAGGGCACTCAGCAGTGGCTCTGTTTACCAAAACAAAACAAGACAAGACATTCTAATCCTGACAAATCAAGGCCTTTAGTCTGTGGGCATTTCAGTCACTTTGCTTACATCCCCAAACTAGGCACAAACCAGACTGTACAGGTCATCACAGAAGGAATAATATGATCTCCAGAGGGAATGATATGATCTCAGCAGATACCAACACCTTACATGGCAATGCATCTAGAGGACAAAAGGACACTGTCTGAAAGGTACAACTAGTGCACACCAGCAGAAACAGCTGAACTCCAACAAACCTTGCCTTCTCAGGCCAGAGGAAGAACCCCATCTGGGGTATTCAGAAGAGGACAGTGCCATACAACAAATATTTACTTTTCCTACTTAGTCTTCTGCAAAGTATTTCAAAAGGCTTCTCCAGAAACCAGCACTGCCCAAAAGTCTCCCTGTGTTTTACATGCAGGCATAAAATGGCTACATTCTACATTTCCTTAAAATATCTTACTAGAAACACAGCTCCTGTCACCTCTACTCACTCTCCCACTCTGTAACCCAGGATTCCAGACTGCAAGTATATGGTTAAATTTTACTTCTATAGATGACAACAGGACCAGCATTTTATCTGGCCTTATAGTAGCTATTATGACAACTCTAAACTAAATGGTGTTGCAATCATTAATGAAATCCACCAGAGCTGTAGACAGAGGAATTGGCTGAAGGAAACAACTATACCTAGGTTGGTGGCATCCTTTGTCCATCTATAAATTCTATACACGTATAGGCAGAACTTTATCAATTTTGATGAAAACTGAAAACAGAAGGGGGAACAGGGAAGAGAGCACATGCATGATAGCGAGAACGCCACTGATTAGCAGACAGCAATTTCAACCAGGTTTGAAATTATTCAGAGGTGAAGAAACCTGTTAATGGCAGCCCCCAACACATTTCAGAAAAAGAGCACACCCACATCTCAGTTCTACCCACTAGCCCAACATTAAAATTATTTCATGTCAATACTACCTCACAGCCAGAAAGCAAAGGAATAATTTAACAAAGTGCTGGTAGGAACGGGAGGTCAGGGAAAGAATGCAAGGAGACCCTTAGGTATGCATTATTTCTATAAAACCCACTCTGCCTAGAAAGTCAAATGCTAAGGCATTAGCAGTCACAAGGGAAATGGTGAGGTGGAGTGTAGTGTCATACAGAGGCATTGGTATGGAAAAAATTAGCAAGGAGTTGGAGAGGTCCTAAAATAATGGGGATGTGAAGGCAGCGCACAGGGACATTGTGAGGAAGCAGGGACTCCTTGCATCCTTCAATGGGAACTAAAATACCCATAGCCTAAAAAGGGCAATAAAGCATGCAAACTTCTAGTTAGAAGTATCCACACAAAATAAAAATGGAGATTAACCTTGAGAAAATGCAAGCTAGCATACCTGGAAAAATGGGGGGGG